CTGCTCCTGCGCGCGCGTCCGGAATGCGGTCGCGTAGCGACCGTGGCAATGTTTCCACGTTTTAGTCATGTTTCGTCACATGTAAAGCAAGTCCATATCATATGAGCTAAATAAGTCTTTGGATTATGCTCCTTGTAATTCTTCCAATCGCTTTATCACATATAGATGTCGAGGTTTTGTGTAAAACGTGCTTGTATATAGGTACTTGCTATGTTGCCTCTCTTTTACCGCTTTTATTTTGTGTTTAAACGGAGTATCCAGGAACGGTTTGATTGTATTTATCTTCTCTTCGACTTCTATGTAGGGATGGATTTCAGTGAGATACACCACTTGTCTGATTGGATGAAATCGAACTTTCTTCATCATTACTTTGGTCCCATGTATGATCATACCATTCCGAGTCATAGCCACTCTTATACACCCATTGCTAGATTTCCATTGGTCTACCATTGATTGACACACGTCATGACTCGGAAACAATTTGGACAGACGGGTCATTGACTTTGATCCCAAAAAATGTAAGGATGCTATGACTTGATTAAAATTTGATGGACAGATAATAATGAGACTACCCAGGTTACAACGCCTCCTGGCATTTCGTATTTTTCCCCGGTTTGTCTGCTCTATGGTTCATTTTTCCCAAGAAATGGAAATGTTCATGAGCATAGTGCTGCGTTTTTGAATACCCTTTTCGTTCGATTTTTTCTGATAACTTTATGATTTATAATTTTAAAACGGGAGATTTAATTATTTCTCTTCGAATCATTGTCATTCAATTGCGTCTATGTATCGTTATTTTCCTCAATTGCGGAATTTTGTATAGAATTTAAAACACTTTCTTCGCTGCTAGTGATCACACTCACACGTTACAGTTTAATTTTCATTAAGATTTGAACTAGAGTAAACATTTTTATTGAGAAAAAAGCTATCGCATGTTTTTACCTCGAACGACCCATTGTTCATTTTCAGAGAATTTTGAATACTCATGAACTGAATGATCACCATCCCAACTATTTTCGTTTATTGGAGTAGGATGAATTATTCACATCCCATCATAGGGTTTAGGCGGAAACAAACCTCTTTTATTCTCGATTTTTTTTTTACATGATACGAATGCTAATGAAATCTTGAAATCACTTTTACCATTGGACCTATGAGTCACCATCTTGCGTTTTATTGTTTCCATTGTTTGTCTCACTCTGATGTTTGGCTGTTGGGGTCTTTATTTTGATTTTGCTATAGGAACAAGTGGGTTAGGGAATTGGACTTAAGGTGAGAGTTGGGGGTGTGGTCGTGTGAGTGACCGAAATAAACCAGGTTCGAATCCTTGTCTCGTTAATTTTTTTCCTTTTATTCTAAAATGAACGTTTTTTGAATATTCATTTTATCTTGAAATCATTTTCCCTAAGGGAGGATTAAACACCATCTTAGGTTTCATTATTTTTATTGTTTTTACACCATCTTAGATGACCTTTATTTTTTCAAATTATG